AGCTGTGGAGTGGAAGACACCATGTAAGTTGCTTGTCAGGGATTCTGATGACCAGATACTCCCCCAAAGAGTTCACGGTCCAGTTTGAGAGACAAATTCTGTAATGGACGTAGTATGTGGCCTGAGCTCTAATAGATGAACAAGCCAGTTTCAGAAATAGCACAGGAAAGATGTGACACTTGAGAAAAGCAAAGAGCAAAGAGGGGGAAAAAAAAAAAAAGGAGCTATGAGCTATCCTGGGTTTGAATAAGTTTTGTGATTTCAGAAAACTCAAATCACTATTATGGACAAGGCCCTGTGAATCTGAATAAAAACCTTGTGATTTCCATGGGCAGGATGAAATGTGTGTACCATGAGAGAAAAACAATCACAGAAATCTGGTTAGCCACTCGAGGCTGAGAAGCCTGCCTGTAACATTCTACGTAGATCACAGAAAAAGGAATGATGTCTCAAGTCTGGTTTCCTGGAAGCAAAGTCTGAAATGAGGATTTGTGGGTAAAATGTATTAAAGAAGTGCTCCCAGGATAATTGGTAAGGAAATCATGGGGAAACAAGACAGAGAAGGGAAATAAGCCAAGCAGGAGTACTTTTTCAAGTGAAGTTCAACGAAGGATAACTTTAGTTTGGTCCTACTGGGAAATTACAGACTGTAAGTTACATATTGGAGTTTGTCTTAACTTAAGGAAAGGGAGCTGGGCTCTTATAAACACCAGGGCGGAAGTGAAACTCACAGGTACCTCAGGTCTCCAGCTGTCCTAAGACAGTCCTCTGAAGAAAGTCACAAGTGCTACCCTGCACAAGTAAAACACCCAGAAGCTGAGAAAGGGAGTGCAGGAATAGTAAAAAGGGATTCAAAGAGATATGAGTAAGAGTGCCAACACCAGGCAGCGCACAGACTGATGGAAAATGGGAGAGGACAGGCTTATCCCATCAGCATAATCAATGCAGTTTCTGGGAAAATTTGTGGACCACACCCTCTAGGAAATGTCCAGCCAATACTCTTGTCCCAGCCCCAGCACAACTATGCCAAAATAGCCCCTAAATCACTGCATGAATATAAAAATACAATTAGAGCATGCAGGAAGGGAAGGTCACTACTAGCTGTGAAATTCATATGTCTGCAAAGCAATTTTATTCCAGTGGCACAAGCAATTCAATCACCACCCGGGTGCTGCAGATTTAATAGCTTAATTTTCTATGGACTGACAACGTCCATCCTAACAAGCCCTTTGTGGAATGCCTTAGGACAAGGCTGCACAACACATTATTTGGTGCTGTGTGCTTATATAATTATTCCCCCACTAGAAGCATTTCACAGGGTGGGCAGGGAGGAATGAGTTAGCAGGGGAAACTTAAGCACTGCTTCAATATTTAGAGAACATAAGGTATTATTATAGGATTAATAAGCAAGGCTAGTTCAGCAATAGGGAAAGCTGCCAAGGGAGACTGTGGAATTGCCATCACTGTAGATAATGAAGGCTGAGAATAGATATCCACCCAGAATGGATTTTATAGACAATAATAAGCTATCCCACTATTCCAGAAAAGGGCATGAGCTATGTATTTCACTGTAGGGATCTTCCAGCCCAAATGATTTCATAAATTAGATAAAGTAGTTTAGTTTAAATTATTACTTATTAAGTATTACTTATTCCAAAGTGTATCCAGTACAGAGATAGTTGAATGCAGAAGCTGTTGAGTGACAAACATAACTGGAATTACAAACATACTGCTAGCACCTACAAACAAACACCCACTCTGAAAACAGGACCATGGGAATCCAGGAAGGCAGATTTTTGTTGTGTGGAGAAATAGAGACCAAAATCCCACACAGTGGTATATTCAAATGTAGGTATTCAGGGGTCAAAAATTAGCAATAGTTGCAAGTGTCAGATCTGTGCTTTGTTCAAACACTGTCTGATGTCTACGTGGTACAGACATAGAGCTCTGAATGCCTGGTCTATTCTGGCTATAGTCCCTAGTGATGTCATAGAGTAAGATGTATATTTCACAAAGATTTGAATAGTTGCACTGGATAAATTGTTCTAGAAGTTGGAGAAATGAATAAGATTTTAAAGTATCTTGTGAATATAACAAAAGTTTCAGATTTTTCACATGACTTTTTTTCATGTCAAGAACAGAAATTCCATTAGGGAGTAAAAGACCAGTTTACCACTCAGATGCTCGAACTGTGCTTAAATATGCATTAAGCTTGACTCAATGCATGGCACATCAAAATACTTCATTTTCTTTGAATAGGTAATCATGAAAATATATCTAGTTAATATTCTGTAGTACCCTCTGCCCAAAGAAGAGTCAAAGAGTGAGATATTTCTCTAAACCTTATTCAGTTTTCTATATGCTATTCTATGATTTAACTCCTAATGGAGTATTTCTTTGGGTTTCATTATGAGTCTTTCAATAAATGCTTTCTGTGGTTTTCACTGTATATCAATTAGACACATGCTAACTATAGATTCTCCTGTGATTTTTAAATTTTTGATTCCAATCTTAGAGTAACACAATAAATTACTAGAACTTCTCAACCACCTGCTCTTCCAAATTTTAATTACATCATGAGCTTTGAAGAACTGTATATACATTTTAAAGTTCATATACTTACAACACTTGTAAATGGGTTATAAAAGTATGGATGTAGTTATGCCCTAAAACCAAAAGGGTTATCTTACAATCCCCCACCCTCCCCCCAACGAAAACCAACTAGAGAACATTTAATTGAATTTTAGGGGTAAAAATACACGTTATGGAATTAAAAGCCAAAAACATATATTGCACCTGTATAGAGGCATTAAACACTGAACCTTAATTTACATTTCAGAGTAAAGAAACAATACTGATTTAAATTGCAGAAAATTAATAAAATCATAACTAAGTATGCATTTGATGGAGATACCTCAACTTATATTCTATAGCCAAAAATGAGTGTTTTTACATCTGAACACTCTTTCATGTTTCAAAAATATTTACTCAGTGACTAGTATGTGCAAAACATTACACTTAGAATTAATAATGCAATAGGGAGTTAAAGACTGCCCTCAGCTTTATAGGGCTTTTGCATTAATAGGGAAGGAAGACTAATAAAAATAATCATGTAAACAAATGTGAATTTGAAGGTGTGCCAAGTAAGCAGTGCTCTGAGCAACCCAATTGAGGAGGTCAGGGAAGCTTTGCATAGTAAGGAAGACCTGAGCTCTCATTAGTAGGAAAAATAGAAGTTAACTAAGTAAAGAAAAGAGAGAACAATTTTCTAGGCCATGAAAAGACTAGCAACATTAACTACCAATAAATTTACCCAGAGGTTGAGGGGAAAAAAATGACATATTCTAAAGTTCTTAAATCATCTAACTATTGCATGGAACCTGTGGAAAGCAACAGACCAATCCTAATTCTGGGGTGAAGGGTTGGGTGGTAGGGATGGTGGAATTGAAAGAAATTGTGTAATACTAAATGTCCCTTTTTTGTTTCATCCCACAAGCTTTAAAATTTCGTTTCAGTTTATTCACATTTACAGAAAACATATCTATCACTTCTAACAGATAATGAAACAGTTAATTGTTATCAAAGACTTTTCATTTCAATATTTAAAGTCATGCTCACCATTATATACTCTTGTGCTCAACAGAAAATTTTCTAAGTTTTAAAGTCTAATGTACAATAAGCCAAGAATTTTATGGTAATAGTAAACTACTTAAATGTGCCACATTGTTTAAATGGAGAGGCACTCTGCAAACAGTTGAAGGAAATGCACTGTATGATGCCATTAGCTGATAAAAGAAAAAGGAAGGCATCCAACAACTAAGATGCCAGAAACTAAGATCACTTTATTTCATCCTCAAAAAATTCTAGCATTCTACCTGCCTCACTCTAACGTGATCAATAATGGCTCCTTGGTGCTAATCTTGATGAACTGAAATTGCAACAGTGAATTACATGTAAATACCATCTTTTATTAGGACCTAGGAAACAGGGCATGCAAACCTTGGATAAAATAAAGACATGATGGCTAAAATACTCCCTTACAGTAAAACACACTGCAACTCTGTGTGCCACTCAGGAATGTGTCTGTGCAATACACAAGACTACACGCCATCAAATAATTCTCATTTTATGATGAGTATTTACTCCAAAGTTATAGCTTAATATTTTCAACAAATATACAAGTCCAACTCAGCTAGGCTAGGCTATTAAGCTATTGTATTTCTAGATTAGAAGAAAATAATGATAATAGTGATAATATTAAGTAACAGAAGGAGGAGGAAAAGGAGGAAGGGAGGAAGTAGGAGGAGAAAACTGTCATTTGTCCTCCACTCCAAATTTGTAGGGCATTTTTGGAGAACACTCTATCACATAGAGGTAGCCTTAACTTTTACAATTAAATATAAACATAAGACTTCAAAGCAACAGGAACAATCATGATTTTTTCAGGCATAACTTACAAAAATACAGCACAATTCTTAGTAGCATAGTGCCTTGATCATCATCAAAATAAACACTAATATGAAGCAAGGGAGATAAAGAGAACCTGGTAGAATACATTCAAAACTAAATCATGTCCTATGGTGAATAATGAACAAATTAGAGGGTGCACTTTGGACTTTCAATTTTCAGGTCCTTAACGTAAAGGCATTTCTTTCCCCACTCCCAAAGCCTTCCTTAACATTAGTCTCCTAACTTTTTTAAAAGGGATTTTTAAAATACTTCCTTCCATATAGAAAAGGATTCTAGGCTGGGTGCGGTGGCTCACACGTGTAATCCCAGCACTTTGAGAGGCCAATGCAGGCGGATCATGAGGTCAGGAGATCCAGACCATCCTGGCCAACACGGTGAAACCCCGTCTCTGCTAAAAATACAAAAAATTAGCCAGGCGTGGTGGTGCACGTCTGTAGTCCCAGCTACTTGGAAGACTGAGGCAGGAGAATAGCTGGAACCCAGGAGGTAGAGGTTGCAGTGAGCCGAGATTGCGTCACTGCACTCCAGCCTGGAGACAGAGCAAGACTCCATCACAGAAAAGAAAAAAGGATTCCAGTAGTAAGACTGAAGCATTACTCAATAAAACAATATTTTCTAATCACAAAACTCTATACCAAACACTGAGTTCAGGATGAGGGAATACAAGGATAACCAAGACCTTTATCTGTGCTGCCAATCACTCAGAAGCTAGTGAGGAAGGTAGGTAGTCACATAAACAAATATCTGGAATAGGTTCTAATGACTAGATTTATAATAGGGGTAGTTACTTAGGACCATGGAAACATAAATAAGCAAGTGATTAATTGTGGATATTTGGGAATCAGAACTACAGAGAGAAGACTTATTTGTGTAAAACCTCTAAATGGTAATAAGATGCTTGCAAGACATAGAAGGTGAAGAAGCTCATTTTAATAAACAGAAAGTAATTGGCAAAGCCACGGAGACTTACTGGGGATCATAATTTGGGGAAAGAACAGGTTTAGAGAGTTTATGAAAAGATCGGTGGGTGGAGATAAGAATGAGGCTGAATTGCATGCTTTCCAAGGAGTTTAGTCCACATATATTCTGTAGCCAGTGAGAAGACATGGGATGCAATTAGGAAAAAGGAACAGGAGTGAAACTGCATTGTATAAAGATAAATTTAGTGGCAATGAAGACATTAGATCTTCAAGGAAAGCCTGAGATTCAGAATGACTTCTTAGGAAAAAAACACCATACTCTCAGTGGTAGATTATGACAGTTTAATCTATAGCCAAGTGTAAAATTAATAAAGCAGGGATGGAAAGGTGATTCAGGATTGCCACACCTCATAGTCCTATCCAGGTGACCTGGGAAAATTAATGAAAACTTTTGACTCCAAAAGTTTCTATAGCACAGGAGAAGAATGAAGTTAAAGATAGTAATAGCTCAGGAAACCTGGTGATAGATTTTTGATGCCTCAACTTAAGACAAGGAAAGATTAGGCTAATAGTATGAAATTGCTAATATTTAAAAGGGTTTTTAGTAAAAAATGACAATTTTACATAATTTAATCCATAGATAGCTAATATTCTAGAAGAACACCTATTAGTTTGGATAAATATACCAGGCATGTCAATTTTATATATACATGTGTGTGTGTATGTGTGTGTGTGTGTGTGTGTGTATATATATATGAATTTAATGGAATAGTTTTCTTTCAACTGAGTCTTACATTGGCTTCCCAGGCTTACATTATTATATTTCACTTTCTGAATGGATAATATATTAACATACTTTTGAAAATTAATAAATACAAAACGGTGTAACGGTAACATCTCCCTTTCTAATATTCCTCAGCCCACCTATCCTTGACACCCAGGAATAGTTTGTTACACACATTTTTTGGTGTTTACTAAGAGCAATAAAATGTAAAATATAATCTTATTTCCCACCACCGCCTTTTTTCACAAAGGAAATATAAAATACAAATGTTGTGCACTTTGTCTTTTTTTTCCCTTCACAAAATATTTCGGAGATATTTATAACTTAATACATAGAGTGTTTCCTGATTCTTTTCCGCAGTTACAGAGTGTTCCGTTTTATGGACATGCTATAGTTTATTCAACTTGTCCCCTATTAATGGACATTCAAGTTGTTTTCAATATTCTCTTGTTAAAAAGAATGCAGCAATCCATCATTATATGCATGTATCCTTTCATCTGTGTGCAAATACGATAAAGCTCCATTAATTGGGATCTAGTTTTCATAACAGAAATGACATGAAATCAGAAAAAAAAAATAACAGAGTGGGGAAAAGGAAAACAAAGGGAATAACGAGAGTAAAGAAAGAGAGGAAGGAGAGAAGGAAGGCAGATAGGCAGGCAGGCTGGAAAGAATACTAGGTAAGCAAAGAGAAAGAAGGAATGAGAAAAAGAAAAAGGAGAGAAGGAAAGAATTAGGAAAGAAAGCTCTTGTCTTCTTGAGGATATTACGAGGGAAGTGATTAAACTTTAGTGCAGGAGGTTGTAAGGGCTTAATGGAAGGGCACATGGGAAACATCTTGGAGCTCGACAATGCTGGGAGAGCATAACAAGGAAGTGACTCTTCCTGTTCAAACAATCCTACCCACTCCAGCAGGACAGAAGAAATATATTCCACGGCCAAACATGAAGCACAGAGAGGCCCAGGACATGGCCGTTCCAGATTACGTAGCAAGCCAGTCATCCAGGCGGAGGCCACATGTTTTGAAAGAGAACCAGTTACATGCAAAGACCTGGCTCTTACGGCAAATGTTAATCATATTAGCCCAAACTGTGCATAATCCATAAATAGCGACGAGGCTTGAACAATAAGAAGCTCACAAGAGCAGTACAAACAGAAAGGAACAAAAAAAGAAACTGAATAAGGAAAGAAGAACCTAGACCAGACCAGAATACTGTGCCTTTCCCGTCAGCCACAGTGACTGCCGGTTCAAACTGGACCCCTCCTGAGGAAAATGAAAGGTTGAAATCAGTGTTCATGACTTACTTTACAGAAGTGCATTTAAGTTCATTGCACAGTAAAATCTGTGTTATTCCCACTCCAGTGAATTCCTTTGTCCTCTTAATAAAGTGAGCGTTAAAAATAAAAATAAAATAAAAATATCTCTAGGTATGTTAAAGACAATAATTTAGCCTGCAGTGATTTTTTTTTTTTTTTTCAGAGTGGGCAAATCCAAGAAAATAGGACCCATTTGAGAGCCCTGTTTGAACAAGGGTAATATCTGAATCAGTATGTTATTTTATTAGCCTCATCAGTGTTTTCCAAAAATTCCTATAATGGCATAAAGTCTTAAAAAGCTTAGTTCATGCCAAAAATTGCTTACATGCTTAAATAAAAATCATGCGGGATATAAGAAGGGGTTTGAATTATATGAAGAGATACTAAATTATTGATTTTTAAAATTTCATCTAGAACTCAGTCCATCTAAGGGGTGTGTGTGTGTATGTGTGTGTGTAACTATATGTGTACAATATCAGAAGGAATATACATTTCAGAAGAGAAGATAGAGGGGTGTCAAGAGCACCACAGACATATTACATATGGCTTCTGATGTTTGTTTGGTTTTTTTACTGTTAATTTTACTATGTGCGCTGGAGTTAAACATGCATTTTTAGGCCATATAACGATCCAGATAATGTAAATAACATAGATTTAAATTTCAGCATTTTCTAGTTACCCTAGTTACATGTTTGCCAAATTATTAAATCGGTTCTGTCCAAAAATTCAAAATATAACAGTAATAATACGAGCTAGTTTACAGCTTTTTTTCTTTACTATGGTGGTTGTAGATAATCCTGCAACTAGCATAAATTCTATTGTTATTATCCAAAAAATCAACTTTGTGTGAAAAATAAGCTGAAGTACATACCTGATTTTACTTCAAAAAATAACATATAAAACACAAAAATAATTTATGTCTGTTAATCTGTCAAGTGTGTGTGTGTGCGCGCGTATAAAATTTGATATCAGAGCAGCACCTTCAAAGGTGGAGATTACACCAGTGACAATGTGTCTGAGCTTCAGTCTCTCTTGATTTCTTGATTTGCTCTTGACATTAACAGCACCAACTTCTGCTTGGTTCTGATGGATGAGAGGATGAGACTAGAATTTTGTGGTCTCCATCTCCATGGTGATGCCAAGTCGAGTTCTTGGCACACTGCATGCACTTAAATAACACTTATTAGATGAATGGATGACTTCTAGCAAGAAAGGTCAAAAGCATAATCTTCAAAAAATAGGCTGCCCTAGAGTTCTAAGCAGCCCCACAAATTCTCCATACTACTCATTGAATGGCTAAGAGGTGCTACCCTATTTGACTTAAGTAGCTAAAGAGCTTATGGCAATCGTTTATAAACCCTCTCCTTAAGTATCTTCTAAAGCCCATGAAAATTAACTCCAAAGAATCATCCACAAATCCTTTGCATATAGTGAGGTTTTCTTATATGACAACTTTCCTGAAATAGAAAGACCAGTGTCTGGAGTACGGCCATTTTTTTGTTTGTTTGTTTTTTATATGTGAAAACTAATTAGCATGGCAACTGACTTGATCTGGACTAGGTACTTTAAAAGAACTATAATCAAGAATAGCAGGACTAAGATTTTTTAACTCATAAAATGTACACTTTATTTTCACCAGATCTATTTGAATGTTAGAGGATGAGCATTTTAATCATGTCTACAGCATGTGGAGGATTACATTAGGTGATAGAGGCAGCAGAATATCATTGTATTTTATGGCATCCAAAGTGATTATACATTGATGTATGGATATATAAATAAACATAAACTCCAGATAAATTAAAAACACACACACAAAAAACACAGAAAACATTTTTTACTAGATCATGAACTCCTTAATTTCTCGTATCCTTAGTTCCTCCTATGATGTCAGGCTTTTCATGGGGATACAGTAAATGTTGGTTGACTCAAATAAGCCAGACGGTAGAAAAGAAGAAAATGAAGAAAGAAAACAAATGGGAAGGACAGAAATGAAAAAAATAAAAGAGAGGAAGAGCCCTTCATAGATGGAGCATCCTACAGAAAATTCTATATAGCCCTAAGCTCAGTGCCTGGCAAAACCATTGTTATTTCTTTTTCTACAGTTTTATCACATATTCTTGTACAGTCTCATTATTAAGGGCATGATTGGGATCCATTATAATATCTAGTTTTGAAAAATCATTGCATTAAATAACACACCACACATGCTTTTTCTTCTTAAAAGGAAACCATTTAGAGCCACTTAGTGTTTACTGAGTGAGCATGCACAGCACTTAGAGAGGACAAGTGGGCCCATAACTCAGGACTTCAGTAGTTACCGCCCTCAGCTGAATATCTCTAGTCAGCTTGGTGGCTTTGACCTTCATAGATGTACAAACTGCTTTCATTTTTGGTCTTGTAATTTATTATTTGGATTGATGAAGGAGCTCTGGTTAAAATGCAAGAAGTATATGGAACACTGCTTTCGAGAATAAAATTGGTGCTCATCTTACACAGAACATTAAAATGACCCTAGTATTTCATAGGGAATTGCAAGAGGGAAACCTACATATGTACGTATTTGAGTCTTCATGTCAGCAAAATATAACAAGTGGAGAAAGCTCACAATGTGAGTTTCTTTATCTCATCCTTTAGAAACAACTCAAGAAAATTATCGAATTTAGCCACATAACATGCATTGCAATCTGATATCTTTGTGGGTTCAAATTATTGTTGTATTTTCAAATATTTTATAAGTTGCTTACAAACTTAACTTTGAAGTAACTGAATAGAGCACAACATTTGTTAAATGGAAAGCAATAAAAATTTATATTATATTATTTTTCAACAGGTAATACTGTCAAAATGATTAGTATTTTTAATTTCCAAGGAAGTTACTAGAAATACATTATTTCAATGAAAGGGGCTAATATATCATAAAAGTTTGGGAAACCCATGTCTAGTACAATAAAATACTTAAAGCAAGGTAATTATGTGTAGGTTATTCAGGTTATAAGTGAAAGAAAGAGCTCTATGAAATTCTATCTTAAGGTTCCTGCCCTATGACCTGAGCAGGTGATGTATGAGTCATTTGGTACCTTCATTGGCTAATCATATATCTTAACTCAATGCATTCCTCAAAACTCACTGTTTTGCATGACATAGAAACAAAATTTAAAGATTTTCCCCAAATCTTAAAAACAGAGTACTGGAGCCATGGCTCATATTTTGCCCTCTGACTTCAAAGTTTATTCTTTCAAATATGTCACATTATATTTAACTGACCTTTCTATTAAGGAGTATTTTTATCTGCATTTCTGTACCTCTTAATAGCCCTCCACTTCAAAAAAGGGCCACAGTTATTTATTCAAATTCTTAATAACTAAAAATAATAGCTTTTCTGTAATACAGCTCTTATGACTCCAAGCTGCCTGAATAGCAAAGTTATGAGTTCACTAATAAATAGCTAACACAAAATAGAAACTCAATCTGCTAGCAAATCCTTCCTTTAAAAATATTCCTCTGTAAGTGAATACATTCTCTTTTACTATTATTTCTTGGGATTAAATATCTCCAAGTTACCTATGTCATGTTTGTCAATTTTTCTCTGTGATAGTATGAATTTCTCCATTAATATGCCATAGAATGTTTCTAGGAAGGAAGATGATCCAGTTTTTATTCTGTATTCATTTATTTATTTTTTTACTCAGTCAATGGCTACTTTCTTCACCTTTGGAGAAAACATTTTTCATGACATTCCTTTAGAGCATTTAAAAGGAGTTTGATATTTAAGAGGTATAATAAAAACAGGCAGTCTAAACCTTTTAGAGGTCTCCGAGAAAGTTCTCTTATTTTGTAGAACTTCTGTTCCTTCATATTCGCAGCTGACTGTAGTCTAATCTGAGAGTGAAATTAACTTCTTGATATCCATCAGCAACAAAGCTGGCAATTTGTGCAAAGGTGATCTAAATAGCCCATTTAATGTCTCACCTGTGAAAATAAAAATCTATGTACTTCGAGGAAAAGGACTTGTTGAGGTAGGTCAGTTGCCTCCTTTTACATGGCAGACTAAATCCCAGAGAGTTTAACTGACTCGAGTCTGATCTCAAAGATTGTTATGGTCAGCACCACGTTTAAAACCCCGCTTCAGAATCTGAAAACAGATTCTTTCTACCATGTGTCTGCCAGAATATTAGCACAGAAAGTTCAAGAAGGCAGTGTTTTAAGGGGAAAGGGTGCTTACTGACTATGTCCTTAAGAGCTTTGATATGTGCTGACATGACCAATTTAAATATAATAGAAGCAGGTCTAGGTATTAGATTTAATTACTATTCTAAGTACTTTGGACTTAGATCTGGGAGAATACTGCCCAGACAAGGAAGTATTAGAATATGCAAATAACGATTTTCTAGAAACAGATCAACTAAATTTAAAAATCCAAATTCCATATTTACTGTGCAATTTTAAACAAGATACTTATTTTACTTATCTATAAAATGGAGATGAGAATAATATCAATAGACATGGTGAGGATTAAATAAGGTACTGTGTAAATGGTCCAGCACAATGCCTGGCCCACAGCAGATGCTGGCTTTGTCTTATTTTAGCTTATGCCTCCCTTACGGCATCTCTGCATCTTTTTCTATACAGTCAAACCAGTATAGATAAAGGGGAAGTTGCTCACAAAAGAAGGCAGGCTGAGTAGTCCCCCAGCTTAACAGAAGAGATACAACTAAAATAAACTAAAGAAGTCCTGCCTTTACTTTTAAGCTCATATCCCAAACCCCATAGAAATGCACTGAATGAGGCAAGGGAAGAGCTTTGTGGTTGTGTGACATGGAATTGGCATGGTGCTGGAATGCTGTGAAATGGGAAACGTGAATCCTTTCCTTAACTTATGTCATTTTGTCCCAAACTGTACTTCCTAGTTTAGCATCTTCATCTTTGGTGATCTGATCTCTGGCTGGATCCTTAGCTTCAACATCTACCACCTATATCCCTTAGCTTCTATCGCTCAAGCCACGCTGAAGTATTTGTCATTACTTAAATACCTGGTCCTGTTTTATATCTCTTAGATACATGCTACAATGCTGTCTCAATGGTCTGTAACTAGCAATCCTACTTGTTCTTCAAAATTCAGTCTAAATATTGTTTCCTCTAGGGTATCTTCCCTGAATCTGATTTTTATACTCTTATGCCCCCCTAGTATCCTATTCATGCTGCCATTATAGCACTAATAAAATTGTAATCATTGATTTGCATATTTATTACTTACTATAAGTCTCTCAAGGTTCCAGATCTTGTCTCATTCAAGTTGGCATCCCTAGCACGTAGCACAATACCTGGCCCACAGTTGGCACAAGATACATGATGAATGTGTGAATAAATTAATTAAATGTCAAAGGAAAGAAGCTAATCCATGATGACCTACATTGGTTGTGACTTTTGGCAAATCATAAACTCTGTCCAATCATTCAAAGGTAATCATTTGGAAATAATTGCTAATCAGTGCCAGGGGAGGATATGTTCCATGGGAAGGCTCTCTTGTGTTTGATGAGTTAAAACAGTAAGGACCTTGCATTCTGAGGGTGATATATTAACCAGAGTGATATGTTAGCCAGATACCAAATAAGGCCATCCATTTGACTTATGCAGTACATCTGATTCTTCCTGCTATTGCTCACAGAACCCAGGTTAGGGCTTCTGCATCTTTGTGAATGATCATTTTGTCTTGCAACAGACACCTCAGTCTGTTACCTCAGTCACTACATTTCTAGTTTGCAAAATTCTTGGCAGCCTAGTTTATAAACCTAAGAAGTAGTAAACCAACTTAGCCCACAAAAATATTTTAAGATGCTTAAAATACAAGCTTTTCTTTGAAATACAGTGAAGACACCAGATTATTATGAATGTTCAAATGGCTGTTTTTTCTAGTTAGATTGATATGAACAGAAAAAGAAACAGGAAATTAATACCGAAGACTTGCAGGACAATAGAAAAGTGTTTAACATGATCTCAAATAGGGTAATTTGATCTTTCCTATTATTATCTTGTATGTACCTACAAATCAGAACAGGAAAAGGAATTCTTGGGAAAAAAATTAACTAAGATAAAATAAGATTGCATTCATCACTGAAGTTCAACTATAAAGAGGTTAAAGCTGTCCTGTAAACTCCAGATAAAAGGCTCATAACTCATTTCCACTGGAGGGTGATAAGACAAGCTGTTCTTTCCATGAGTGGATGAAACGAGTGTAGTCTTGTAAGAAGAAAACTAAAGATGAGTAAAACAAACTCCTACTACTGGAAGATGAACTATACAGTTTAAATGATGTGACATTACTGTATTGTTTGACCTTTTCTGATAAATAGGTAGAATTATTTCTTCTCAAATCTTCATTGTGTAAATACACAATTTCTTTCACATTTTATAATTTTTAAATTCATTAATTATTTACATAGAGTTTCTTTTATTTTTATGTATTTCTGTGTGTGCATATTATGGGTGTTTATTAACTATTTTCTTTTCCATCCAATTAATACAGCTTATATGTGTTTTGCCTCTGCAGCTTCTGAATGCCTATAAATTTATTACACATTCCTTCCGTTGTTGCAATAATGATAGAATAGGTGAGATTTTCATGTATAGATTATTTAAAGCTTTTAGGTTCAAGCAATGCCAAAAACCAGAGAGAAATACCAAACAAAACTCAATATGCTACTATAAGTCTCCGAAAGAATATCATATCTGGACGTTAAAAAAAATAAGAATAAAAAAATTCATTCACCAATTATGTTGGTTTTCTGAATATATAATTGTTAAACTCTATCATAGCTTGGTTTACTAAGCCAAAAACAAATTAACAGCCTACATAAAACTTCCTAAACAAGAATAAATGTCACAGTCTGCAATATGAATAGGCTTCCTTTAAGATCTATCATATTTTGACTTAAGGCTTTTTCAAATATTTGACAGAGTTTTTACTATACTGCTTTTATCCCTAAAAGCATTTTGACAAAAGAATAAACTAAAGCTAGCACACAAGCAAGGGAATAATTTACATACAAATTGGGCATCAAATTAGAGTTTTAGAAAAATTTTTTGCTGGTATGTCAATATCTCCAATATTCATTGTTTATATTAGAATCGCTAACATTTCTACAGGTGAATAGCAATGGTATTAACATTTTTCACTTATCCAACAAATGTCTCTTGAGTGTACAGGAATTAAAGGTTAAGCCACATCGCCACTTACACAAGCCTCATTTCCAAGAAGTATATAGTCCAGAATAGATGATTAGAGAAGTTTATAATAGCTATTAAATAGTATAGCTCAAAATATGGAAATCAGTAAAATATGGCCCAGAGGCGGGACAACTGTTTTTGTAATATAATTAATTTAATAATTTAATTATAATTTATAATTTAATCAGGACAGATCCACCTAAACTCATTTGTTTAGGTATTGCCTAAGCTTGCTTTCATGTTACGTAGAGCAGAATGAATACAGTGGAAAGTGTATACATAGCAAGCAGGAAATATTTACTATCTGGTCCTTTACAAGAAAGTTCACTCATCCCTAATGATGACAATAGTAACTACCATATGAAGTTCAAACCAAATGACAAAATTGTTCATAGAAGAATGATATTTTTGCTAGGGAGTTATCATTTAAGCTGAACTTTCAATTATTAGTAAGAATTTTAATGAACAGATTCATTGATAATAGCCATCCCAGAAGAAACAAAACAAACAAAAAGTCGTATCAAAGACATACAAGCAATGCATATTTGATACATTTAGAAAATATCATGTTGTAGAGTTTGGTTGGGTGATAGGCTGGAAGAAGTGAATTCTAGTGAGAGTCGCATGTCTGCTATCTGGCAGATTCACCCCAGGACAGTCATACCAGTTGTTTACGGCTAGACTCGGCAGTGATGGCCTCTTTCCTGAATTTTTTTTACCAGTTCTTAGATATTCTTAATATCATCCCTGATAATGCCTATCAAAACCAATGAGAGGTAGCCAAGAGAGCATTTGAAGGACAATTTATAGTCTAAAGTAAATTTATCATAAAACATAAAAGATATAGCATTGATCTCAAGAAGCTAGAAAAAGAACAATAACAAAACCTGAAGTACTCTCACATGTTGTTTATGGGAAAGTGAATCAGTAGAGCTGTGTCAATGATAGTGGTAGGGTGGAGATGCATTTAACCTGATCTATAAAAATTCAAGTGTCCTTTCGACTCTGCAATTCTACTCCTAAAATTTGATTCATGGACATGCCCCTATACATGTACCAAAAGATAGCAACTGGTGTGTTCACTGCAGCATGATTGCATGATCAACATTGGAAACAATCTTAGTATTTATGAAGTTTAATGTTTAACAGTATATCCTGACTCTAGAATACCATCTAGTTGATAAAACAATTATGTAGATCCACGAGCTCTCTCTCACACACACAAATGCCCATAATATGATTAAAAAAAACAAGTTACTGAACAATATCCATAGCCTTACAATTTTCTTGGAAATTATATTTTTGTATGTAGCTAAATGTGTATATACATGTGCATAAATATATGTATGTGTGTACATGAATGCATGTGTGTATGTGTGTATACATGAGAAGGGGAGGAAAAAATATAATGAGGATGAGGTTTTGAAGTATATACAAAACTGTTAAAAGTGGTTGAACTTTTGCAAGAGGAATCTTACATTTTACTTTATATATTTACGGTTTTTCTCAACCAGAATATTATTCTGTAGTTAAATGAAATAAATGAAGAAACAAATAAAACTACGACAAATATCTCTGAATGTATACATTTCCTACTATTTCAGATATGAAGTTATTAGATGAAAGCTTATAAACATTTTAACGTTATTGATAAATAATGCCAGACTGTTTTTCAATGGTGCCAATAGTGTCTAATTTATCTGTTTTCTTTTTCAAGTTAAATGTTAGCAAGGACTATGTTGAGACCAGAGATTGGCATGCTCCTAGGCATAAAAGCTTCAGACTATAAACTTTGGAGCTCTACGTTTATGGCCACAGTCATTTAGGATGTTTCCCAATCCTGGGTTCCCCAAAGCTAAATCCAAATGGAGGATCCAGTGATTTTTGGCATATTTCTTACTGATCTCATGCCAGCTACTGGCATCACGTTACTGAGCAAAGGCACATGACATTTTTAGGTACTTAAGGAAAGAGCAACTCTAATTCAGAAAAGCACGACACAAGACAACACTCATGTTCGATACAAGAAGTTAGGCTTGCTTCACTTCATATAACCCAAATTGGGACACAACTTGAATACTTAAATCAAAGTCAAGGCCACTTGAGAAACCAGCTCCTGGCTTCAACCCCCCAGTAGGTTTTGTGCACACCATATCTGGTTCCCTCCATCCCTGTGCACCTGAGATAAAAACAGGATGTAACGCTGAAACCCAGGGTACCTGTAACTAAACCAGGGTCAAAGCCATGGTCTCTTAACCTTTAAGCAACAGCTTTATCCCTCCCTTAGATATCTTTATAAACCTCAGCCTCTATCACAGTGATGGAAAGCATGAATTCTGGAGCCACACCGACTCTATATGCCTGCTGCCTTCCAGCAGTGATCTTTAAGTAAGTCAGACGCTCTTTTCCTTCCTGACTGTCTGAAGATACGCCGCCATCATGAACGACACCGTAACTATCCACACTAGAAAGTTCATGACCAACCGACTACTTCAGAGGAAACAAATGGTCATTGATGTCCTTCACCCCAGGAAGGCAACGGTGCCTAAGACAGAAATTCGGGAAAAACTAGCCAAAATGTACAAGACCACACTGGATGTCATCTTTGTATTTGGATTCAGAACTCATTTTGGTGGTGGCAAGACAACTGGCTTTGGCATGATTTATGACTCCCTGGATTATGCAAATGAAAATGAACCCAAACATAGACTTGCAAGACTGCCTGATAGAAAAAAACCATCAAGAAAAAACGAAAAGAACACAAAACAGAATGAAAGAAAGTCAGGGTCACTGCAAAGGCAATGGTGTGTGCTGGCAAAAATTAGCTGAGATGATCAACAGCCAAGGAAGTAAAGGTGCTGCATAAAGCTACCTGTTCCATTTGGTTTTTCACAAGCAGATTAAAAACTAAAAGACAAATTTCAAAAAAAAAAAAAAAAACAAGTTCTAGACTTCAATTTTCCCAAATTGTAAAAAATGAGGGTAACAATAGGAATAGTGGAGTCCTGTTCCATATCCTTGTTCCAGAATCCCAAAATTCCAATCCCATAACATACGAGAAGGTATTATTGCCAGATTAATGAAATGACCAAAGTTAGCTAGCTGGCTGATAAGTTCAAGGAATCTGGAGCCAACTGCCAACCACATTACATCTAAACTTGTAGGACACAGTATCATGGGATTTTTACCACAAGGTTGCTATGAAGACTGAGTTAAACACCAAGAATAGGGAGTTGCATAAAGTATGATGAGTATATAATGTTGCCTATTATCATTATGACTTCTGTTACTATCACCACTCCTACACCTCCACCACCACAGCACTGCAAAGCAGACAAAGCCAAGAAAGAAAATTTGCCAATGACCAAGCAACCAGAAGATGATAAGCAATAACAGAAAGGATATTTCTGTGTATTTGTTAAAGGATAATCTATCTAATTTGTGCTGACTACTCTCCACTCATCCCAAATTTTCCTTTTGCCGAAAGTCAACTGCTAAACCCTGGGAGGGAATAAGGCCAAGACTTGAGACCGGCGTTCAAGAGAGACTCTGTAAAAGTGATTGGATTTATATTAAGCATACTATCCATCTATAAACCAGTCACCTGGTTTGCCACACATGGCTAGCTCTGGAGACCAATGCTGTACTCTAGTAAGCATCATGCCGTTTTAACAAATATTGACAACCTGAAGTCTGTGTACCATAAGGTATAGAATTTTGTTCCTACATGAGAGTTTTAGGATTTCTGAGGGGAAAAAGTGCTGTTTTGCAACTGGAAAACTTGAGGGCAGCAGTGGCCACATGACCCTTACTAATATCGTGACATTTAACCTGGTACTGTTGCAAATAAATCATGTCACCATAGACTCCAGTGACCTATGCCTCAGATTTCCTCGTTCAAGGCAGAAGTCCCAGACCAGAATGTGGAAAAGCAATACACACAGTGCCTTCATGCCCATGGACATGCAAGTTACTCTTGGCAAATATAGTTATTGTGGAATTAACTTCCTTTCTCTACTCGAGGCAGTGAGTTTCATAATACAATGGCAATAAAAGAAAGCAATCAGAGCTGAGGGCAGTGAGGACTTTTACATGTTTCCTACCTCTTTCTTGTTGTGCATTAAACAAGACCAGATGTTTCAACAAAGAAATGAAACCAAAGTCATACTACATTTGATTTGTGGGACCACCCTTACTTGAAATGCCATCTCATCGTTCCAAGGTTTGAAAAATGATGTGCATAACAAGCAAGATAAGAAATGTGAACATTCCTTCAAAAAAGTCATTCATTATATGATCCACAGATGGTAAGAAAATGCTTTCCAAGTAGGGATAGAGAAATGTAACGATTATTTGCTTAGGGATTGAGACAAGGCAGACTCTCTCATCCTTCTCCATGCCTGTGTCCTGAAATGATGGAGTACATGTGAATGGCACTGCAGGGGCAGTGAAGTTAAAGGTGAAAAGCAGAACTGAATCCACAAAAGCCAGGAGAAGAGTGAGCAGAGCAGATCAAAGCAAAAGATCTTGGGATTATATAGAGTGTCCACAGTTTCCAGGGAAGCACAGTTCTACGAAAGGTTAATACAGGCAGTCACAGCACATGCGCATTTAATTTATGGCACTTCATCTCTGTATTTGTGGATGGACTCCTTAGGGGAGAGAAAAAAAGGAGAGTGAAGGGAAAAGATGACAGAGAGAAAAGGAGAGAGATTGACAAAGGGACAGATATAGACAGAGACATATAGATATACAAAGAAAAGGAGAGAAAAAGATTCACAGATATAGATGCAAAAAAAAAAAAAAAGAGTGCAAGAGTACAGAAAGAATGAGAAGCAATTAGTGATTTAAATTTGTGGTCACTTACTAATTCCACCACTATTTCATGAATACATTTATAAAAGAAAGTCAACTCAAGTCCTGAAATATGAATCTGCCTTCCCCTGATCACTCTTGGTTCTGTTGTGTCCCTACGTAAGTGAACCTCTTGTCAGGTTGCGATCAGTTCAAGCTTTTAAAAATACAGCATGTATTCCTCAAAAAGCGCATTCATAAATTATCTTATGTGCAACAACAACAACAAAACAGAATGCTAGAAAAAAAATAACTGGCTGTGTTGGATTTTAAATTTCTGATAGTTGCCTTAAAATTCAGAATGTAACCCCAGTATTAGATGAACACAAGACGTGTTATTCTCCACAAGACTATGTGTTCACAAAGTTTGGGAAAGGGTGGGTTCAGGAAATTTAAACAGGTGTCCTGCCTTCCGACCTTCTCAAATCCCTTAGTATATTATCCAGCATTAGGACTCTCTACCATGCAGGAGGACTATGGGAAACCAAACTGACTTGATTATAGAACCCTTTTCTTTTTCAGAGTGTGCTTCACAGCACAAGCACACTGTGGAGCACACTTAGGAATCTCTGATGCAACTCAAGCATTCTCACTTCCCAATAAGGAAACCAAGCCCTCTCTAAGGGCATACATCTGGCTATCCAAATGCCGCAACAGGATGGATGGCCCTGATTGATTTAATGATTGCTATGGATATGTTTTATTTCTTCATACCCTTATTCCTTCACCCCTAGGTCACTAAAATGGCCAATCCCCCTAATCTTGTCTTCTGCTAGTCAAGTGTATATGTTAAAATCAAGCAAACCTTTCTAAATGTAGATTTCATTGCAATGCTCTTATGCCTGTTACTCTATAGTGGCTTCCAATAGCCTATAAGAGTAAATCTCAAACTTTCTCCAAATACATGAATTAAATAGTAAATCTCAAACTTTCCCCAAACACTTGAATCTAAATTACATGGCACCCCAGGAACACATGCCATATTTACATATCTTCTAGCATAATGCCAAAATTTTTTGGTGGTTTGCATACTGTGGTATGAGACACAAACTTAGAATATCAAGTGCTTATTCCTCAACCAATCTGGCAGTGCACCTCACACTCAGACCAATTTTCTGTTCTACCTATGTCCTTCTCTCCTTGAAGGCTGTCTATAGAACATGTAGCAGTCTACAGAAAACATTATTAGATTCTTCAAACCTAGGCTGATCGGAGATCTCAATTTCAATTCAGAGAAGAGCTATTTGAGAGAACTGGAGAATGATATTCTCCTGCCAGAGCTCTCCAGAGATAATAAGAGAACCTAACAAACAAACTCACCTCAAATCTGTTTGCACATAAAATATAATGTCTAGCTTTGCTTATTAGCTCTGTTTATCAACCAGTGCCATGCTCACTGGCCCCATTAACCTACTGAATCAAGGTTATGATTTGAAAAGAAATGCCCATGACATGGACCACAGGAGCACTAGCACTCAGGAGTGATAACACAGTAGCACTGTTGATATATAACATCAGAGATAGATTTGGACTCACTGGGAGTTGGACTGTGTAAACTAAAAGGTTTTATGTTTTGTTTTGGTTTGCTTAGCTTTGCTTTACTTTTATCTAATAACAGAAAAACTCAGTGGAAATAAAACACTAGTTAATCTATGTAAGAAAAATGGAATAACAGATGAACGTCAGAGCCATCAACATGGACGAATATGCCAGATGCTGCTCCCTGAAGTGCCACGTGACAATAAATTTTCATCACATTGATTTACCCCAAGGAGCACATCTTGAGTGATTTTCCCCTCCAGCGTTAGCCTAATAACAACTTGGAAGGTGGGGCTGAAGGAATTCACTCCTGTAACTTTCTTTGGTTTCATGTTCATCAGGAAGAGAAAATCTTCCCATAAAACAAACAAGCAAATCTTAAAGTGTTAGCACACATATATGATTTATAGGCCTCTCATCCTTAACCACGGTTTTCAGAATTTCACTAAAAATCAAAACATTTAAAAAAAATACAGAAGATTGAAATCTCAGATTCAAGTGTATTTAAATATTTCAGTGGAAAGGATCCAATTCTACCATACATGTATTTCCCATGCATTTAATAACAGTTTCCTGTGTTTCAAAATCCTTAATTATTGAACTATAAAGCCTGAAGTTTTACTAGAAAGACATATTTGACTTTGCCTCTCCAGATATGACCTTATCCGGGTCCCCCCAGCTTATTCAGAAGATGACCTACTTTACTGAGATTAAAGTTTTCAGACATGATCTATTTCTACTCCATCCCAACACAAAATTTATCTTTGTTCTTATCACTGTCTCTTTCTTCCTCTCTTAAAGAAAGAAGTGATTATGGATTAGGTTTTCTAAGGACAATTGCTCCATCTGTGCCCTTGATCTGTTCAATATCTGCCCCCTCGACCCAGGATTTACCTTTAATGGCATTTTTTTTACCCACGTTCTCACATCTCCTACTCTTCACTGCCACCTCCTCCTTCGACTCAGATCACAAATATGCTCAAGCCTCCCTATTTCACAAACACGTTCCCTTAATTATGTTATCCCACATCAGTATCTGCCCCTTTCTTTTCTAATTTTAAATCTCAAACTTTTTTTAAAAAGTAGGCTACACTAATGCCTCTAGTTCTCACTTCTAAGTTTTCACCCCCGCTTCACCTGACCTCCAGCTGAAACTATTTTCCCGAAGATCAACAATGACCTAAAATTATTAAATGCAATGCATCTTTTTCCTCAGTCTTCAGATACCTTAAACTCTTTCCAATATATGAAATCACTAACAACTCCTTTTGGCATGACATTTCATATTCCCTTTGCTATAATAATATTCATTTCTGTTTCTTCCATCTCTCTGACAAATTCTTACCATCACCACCCCCACCGCATATTCCCTAGGATTCTATCTTTCAATTCTTTTATTTCTGTAATATACCTCTTAATCTTGTTTGTGCTA